AGCTTGAGATAGCTACTACTGGTAGTTGTGTGACCCTAGGCAAGTCACTTCACACCATTTGCCTCAGTTTCCTCAGTTATAAAATGAACTAGAGAAGGAAATGGAAAACCGCTCCAGTATCTTTGCCAAGAAAAAACCCCAAATGGGATCATAGAGAGTCAGACACAACTGAAAAATGATTTAACAACAACAAAATGCCTCTGAGATATCTTGAACTGGATGTCCAGTAGAAATCTTAAACTCAATAGGTCAAAACCAGAACTCATTATCTTTCCTCCTTAAACCATCCTCACCTCCTACTTGCCCAATTATTGTCAAGGGCACCACCATCCTCCCAGTGCCCCAGGCCACACAATCTCAGAGTCAACCTGGACTTCTCACCATCTCTCACCTCCCCCATATCCAATATGGTGCTAAGGCTTGTCAATTTCACCTCTGCAGCATCTCTCATCAGTTTCACCTCTGTAGTATCTCTTGTCAGTTTCACCTCTGCAGCATCTCTTGAATGTGCCCTCTCCTCTCCTCTGACCCTGTTAGCCCTCTCGTGCAGACTCTCATCACCTCACACTCAGATTGTTGCAATAGCTGCTGGCGGGGTCTGCCTGCCACAGGTCTCTCCACTCCAGTCAATCCTCCATTCAGTCACTGAAGTGATTTTCTAGAAGTGCAGGTCCAATCATGTCACCCCCTACTCCACTCCAGCCCCCTCATTTTACAGGTGAGAAAACTAAAGCCAGGGCAGTGAAATGAACTCACTCTGGGTGATCCAGTAGATAAGCATGTGAGGCAGTATTTAAATCCAGAAAGCAGCAGGGCCTGGATTCAAGCCAAGGTTCTCAGACTTCAAATAGAGGGCTCTTTGCCCTCCCTCCAATTCTAGACAAGCAGTCCTGTTTGTTTCCTGATGCAATCCACCACATCTGCCTTACTGCAGGGGGAGAGATGCTTCTGGCCACTGCAGGCAGATCAGCCTGCTTACTCTCTTTCTCTATTTAATTATTAATTAGACCCCTGATGAACCAGTGCGCATTAGAGCTGGGCAGCGATGGAAGTAGCTGCCAGGGCTGGCTACATCCTGGGGCTATATGCAGAAGCAGCTTGCCCCTGACAGGCCTGTATCCAAGGGGGCTGGGAATATTCTCAACCAGGGGAGGGAAAACAGCCCATGATGGGCATGAAAGGCACGAGGAAGAGGAGAGGGGGATATAGAGTAAGAGGGAAGCAGAAGCTGGGTGAGGAGGAGGAGGAAGAGGGGGAGGATCACAGTTACCTCCACTGTAAAATGAGGGAGACAAGCTCCAGGGTCCCTGCTAGTCTCAGGTCGATGATTCCATGATTTGGAGTAAGAAGAAACCTTAGGTGATGACCAGATTTGAAGTTATTTAATGCTGAAAGATTTGCAAAGCTTTTCCTCCAAACATGACCTCTGAAGCCATCTAGTTCAAACCCTAATTTTAAACAAGGAGACATTGAGGCTGAGGCAGGGCAGAAGATTCTGAGCTGAGTTGAAAGGGAATTTGATGCAATTCCCTTCATTTTACAGATGAGGAAACTGAGGACTAGAAATTTGAAGAGGCTCATTTCAAGGAGAAGATGGAGAGAAGGAAGGAGAAGGAGAAGAAGGCTAGGGAAGGACAAAAGAAGGAGAAAACAGGAACAAGAGAGGGAGGAGGAAAGGGAAGAGAAGGTAGTAATAGGGAAGATGAAGGGGCTAAAGGGGCAGGAAGAGGAATAGGAAATGAAGAAGAAGAGGAGAGGATAGAATTTTCTATGTCTCTAAATATGCCAGGGGAAAAGCAATCTGGAGCCAGCTGGTTGAGCTAATGGGAAGGACAGAAGGGCCACAAAGAGATGGCAGGGTCCCATTAAAGGGAGAAGAGAGCCGAAAAACAAAGATGAATGCTCATAGGCAGTGCATAAAGCCCAGAAGATGTGGAGGGAGTCAAGAGGAATCAACAGAGGCTGGAGAAGGGGAGACTAAGAAGAAGAGAAGAGAAAGAAGGACAAATTAAATCTAGTGTGATTTCATGGGGGCTGGGAGCTCCTAGGGAGCAAACTCCTACCAGCACAGGCCAACTCTTGTTCTGCAATCTAAAGCTTTAGAGAGTTCCCTGGAATGCCTAGGGTCCCACAGCCAGTATGAGTCAGGGGCAGGGCTAGAATCTTCCATACTAATTATGTTAATTTAATTAAAGAGACAACTTTAATGCCTGTATGTGTGCAGAAGATGAATTTATGAAACCAAACCTACCAGACTCCATGGTTCATAGAATATTAAAACTGGAGATATTTTAGTCCAACCCCTTAATTTCACAGACAAGGAAACTTAGTCCCAGGCTGGGGAAGTGACTTATCCAAGGTCACATAGGCAGCAAAGAGCAGTCAGAATTCTAATCTTAGTCCTCTGACTCTGACTCTAGTCATCTGTAAGTGAAGCAATGGGGAAAGACCCAGGTCTGGAGTTAGAAGACCTGGTTTGAATCCCAAATCAGCTTCTTGCTTCGTACCTGGGTGACTCCAGGCAAGTGAGCAGACTGTAATAAGTGACCTCCAAGATCCCTTCTACCTCACAATCTATGATTCCTGGAGGATCCTGAGTTGCAGGGTTGGTGTTTCGTTCTGACATTCTTCATGGCTTAGATCAGCATGCCAAACACCAATCGACAGGGACCAGTTCCAAATTTCACAGTGTCCCGTCTCATCAACCACCGATTGCACCGCCTGCCTCGGAGCACAATTCGTCCCAGAGTTTCTGAGGAGTCTTTGGCTCACAGAGCTTAGAATTGGAAGAGAGCTGAGTCTAATCATCCACGCTATTGTTGAATTCACTCTGCAACCGAGATTTCTTGTCATGTTCCCATGATGGGAAACTGGACTCCTTGACAAGATCTTCTATTCCATTTCAGATAACTCAAATTGTTAGGAAGAGTTTTTTTTTTTTTTCCCTGTCTTACACTAAGCCACCTCATTCAACTCAGCTCAACATTGGGTGGACTCCCTGGAAGGAATCTATGGGAGGACATAGACAAGTGTCACCCAGCAAGGGCAGGCATGGGTAGGTTGCAATTTGTATCATTGGAGGGAACATCTTATCAATGATATCACAGAGCCAGGGAAGTATTTGAGCACATTCAGCCAAAGCCTGCCCCCACTCTCCAATGAACCAGGTATTTCTCTATTTTTCATCAGCGACTCTGCTTAGCTTGATTCCACTGAATATCATGCTGCAACCCCCACCCCCCTTCCCCAGGATAAGCTGATAGCCTGAAGTCTCATCCCTGTAGAGATTGACCCAGAGTTTGATACTCAACACCACCTCAGCTCCCTTAGTTGCCCCTCTCTTTTGATTGGAAGTCTCAAGGGAGGTGATAAATTCCTCCAAAATCTATCTTTATAGAGAACGCCCAGGTAAATCTCCATATTCCATCAGCAGCTCAGCTTGGTTTCAGCTCCACAGAACATCTCGTCCCCACACCACGGTCTCCCTGGTGAGCCCCTCCCCCACCCCTTTTCTTTTTCTTTTGCATATTGAAAACCAGACAACTGTCTTCTTTTCTCAATGACCAGTGAGGTTAAGTGACTTGCCCAAGGTCATACAGTCAGTGATGGACAAAGGCAGAATTGTAACTGAGGCCCTCGGGTTCTTTTCTCATTAGGTTATAAGCCCCTGTAGCGCAAAGACACTCTTTTTCTTATTTGTATCCCCAGTGTTCAACACAGCACCTCGTACATAATACGCATTTAATAAATGCTTGTTTTATTGAATTGACTTGAACCTGTAGAATTTGAGAGTTGGAAGGGACCACAGAGGCCACTCAGTTCAATGTGTCTCTAAAATCCCATCTATGACAGTCTTGACAGGCAATCACCCATGGCTCCTGGTTCTCTTCTCTGGAACCAGCCCATATAATTCAATCCCCCTCTTCCACGCGGTAACCCATCAAGTGTTTGAGGATGGCAATCATTCCCCAACACCTAAGTCTTCTCTTCTCCATTCTAAACATTCCCATTTCCTCCAACTAGTTCCTGTGACTATAGATCACAGGATTACAGATGAAGCAGGAGCTCTTTATTTTCAGCCCATAAACTTGTTGGGTTTTGTTTTTAATATCCTGATAACTTCACTAAATAAAGTTGTTTTCCTGTGTATTTTATTTTATGCACTTAAAACCATTATTCTTGGAAGAGGTCCAGAGGCCTCACTGAGGAATATGACATAAACAAGTCTAATAACCCCTAAGATAGGGATATCAGGGGCCTCAGAAGGCATCTAGCAGAACTGTCTTCTTTCCCAGATAAGCAAATTGAGGACCAGTGAGGTCCAAGGTCAATTGACAAAGGCAGGATTAGAATTCAGATCCCATTGTTCCGTACTGCCTCACCATCTTCACTTGGATAGCTTCCAGCTCTTGGGGCCCAGCAATGAGCACAGGACTCCAGATTCGACCGATAAGGGCAGAAGGCAATGGAACCTCTCACCTCTCACCTCCAGGTCATCCTGGACCCTCTGACTATAGACCATGCAGCCCAAGATGTCATCTGATGTCCTGGCTGCCACATCTCATTGGTGATTCTTTGAGCTGCCACTTGCCTGTGTGACCTTGGGCAGGGTCCTAAATGCCTCAAAGCTCTCTGAGTCTCAGTTTCCTCACTTGTAAAATGAGCAGATTAAACTGGATGGCTTCTAATGTCCCTCTCAGCTCTTCACTGACGGTCCCATGATCTCCTATAGTGATGCCATTTCCCACATGAATTGCCCTTTTTGGTCCCATTCTACCCCTCCCATACAGTCTATTTTTTAAAACCTTAATGCATTTCATTGTATTAGATTCAATCTATGACTCTAGCCTGCCAAGACCTTTTTGGATCTGGACTCTACAATCGAATGTTAGCCATTTTCCCCATCATCTGCACATTTGATGAGGGTGCCCTCCATGGCTTCATCCAGGTCATTGATGTTAAGGTTGATGAGAAGGGCCCAGAGGCCCAGTATGGCTTACCTTAACATGAACCTTCTCCAGCTCTTCCTTACTGACTGTTGTCTGGGAGTCCTCAGCGTTCGACAGGAGAAGCTGCACATCAGACAGGAGGGCATGGGTCCTCCGCAGGTCTCGGCGGAGGCGTTTTTCCACGTCAAAGTCTCGATGACCAATCTGGAGACCGAAGGCACACCAGTTAGCCTTGAATGGAAGCAAGAGGGACTAGAGGTTCATTACTTAAGCAGAGTCCCTTAATTTGAACAGTGCCTTGGCCTATTGTGATCATTCATCCCAGATTCTCAAAACTATTTATTTAAAGGCCTACTATGTGCACATAAGGTCCTGGGAATTCAGAGACATGAATGAAACCATGGGAAAAGTGCTGGGTTTGGCATTAGAGGACCTTATTGTAAAACCCAAGTCTATTCCTTACTTAGCAGCTGTGTGACTCTAAGCCAGTCACTGAAGTCCTCTGGGCCTCAGTTTGCTCTGAAGGAAAATGAGTGGGTTGTAATGGGACAGATCCAAGGTCCTTTCTAGCTCTGAATCTAAAATTCTGTGATCCTATATTAACAGTCCTAACCCTCTAGAGGTTTACATTCTACTGGTAGGAGAGATATAATGAGTGTAGAGATACATAATTACAAGGTAATTTGAGAAGAAAGAAAGACAAAGAGAAAGATTCTCAAAGGAGAGTCTTCCTAGAAGAAGAAATATATGATTGGAGCAATGAAGGAAGGTTTTGAGAAGCAGAGCTAGGGATGGTATTTTTAGCATGATGGATGGAGGACTATAATCACTGTTCAAGTGCATGGAGGTTGGCTATGACATGTCATCTGGAAGGGGGGAAGGGGAGATGGGCCCACTTCTTGGGGATGTTGTTTAGATTTCTCTTGGCTCCTATTGGCTGCTGCCGTCTTTTCCAACTCTGAGACTGAAGCTCTATTCCATATGACATGAAAGGTGGCACATGCCCACTCACATGGAACACCCTGGCTCCTGAAAATGAATTGAGGCTATGAATTAAACAAGTCCACTCCTTGGGCTCAGCTGTAGAAATCAGCCCTCTCCAACTGGGCCAACCCAAGAGCACAATTGCCTTTGTTATCAGAAGGTGAAAGACACTAAAGAAAAACCATTAAGCACTGGCCTATAGGGTCAGAGGTGATGAGGTCGTTGAACGAATAGGTGATGCAATAGGGTAAGTGTCAAGAAGACCTGAGTTCAAATCCAGCCTCAGACACTTACCAACTGTATGACCCTGGGCAAGTCACTTAACCTCTATCTGCCTCAAGTTTCCTCATCTATGAAATAACAGCACCTATTTCACAGCGTTGCTTTGAGAATAAAATGAAATAATAATTACAAAGTGCTTAGCGCAATGCATGGCAATAGTACTAGCTTAATAAATGCTTGGCTCCTTCCTTCTTAGAGTTTCCGAGAGGTCCTCAAGTTCAACCCTCTTCTCTAACAGATAAAGAAACAGAGATCCACTTCTCTAGTGACTTGCCCAAGGCCATACAAGTAGTAAGTCTCAGAGCTGGTATCAGAAGGAAGGTCCTCTGATGCCATGGGGCATTTCATGATCGTTATAATGGCTTTGACACATCAACCCTCCAGACACAGAGTCAGCTAATTTGATATTAATTTCCACACATGAAGAAAAACATGATTTAAGACTTAGGGCGTTTTTTGTGCATTTACATATAAGCTTATGATTTTTATTAAAAAAACCAACAACACTTTAACAATACTGAAAAAGCAATGAGATAAAAACAATTAAGTTAATAAAACAGGCTTGGTTTTTTCTGTTAAAGCAATGAAAGTTTGTTTGTTTGTTTAACACATTTATTTCTTTCTAAAATTCATTATCTATGCTGCCATGAATCCTTTTTCATAGCAGGCAGGGTATAATTTCTTCTAACAAAACAAATGCATCAACCTAATTCATTATTAACTTAAGGAAGCTGGTTTTTTTAATTCACTTTGGGAATACAGAGAGGTTTTTTCCTTATTTTTCTTTTTTTATTTGGAAACACACAGGTTTCTAACTCTATGGAATTCTTTGTCTTTATCATTAGCTCTCCTTTAGGAAGGACTTTTCGGGTTCATGCAAGGCATGTTCTTCCCCACAAACTTGGGAGGAAGGGACGAGTATGAGAAGGTCACAAATGTGAGCCTAGAAAAGAACTCAGAAAGGGGCAGCTAGGTGGTGCAGTGGATAGAGCACTGGCCCTGAAGTTAGAAGGACATGAGTTCAAATCTGGCCTCAGACCAAACACTTATCACTTACTAGCTGTGTGACCCTGGGCAAGTCACTTAACCCCAATTGCCTAAAAAAGCAAAAAAAAAAAAAAAGAAAAAAGAAAGGAACTCAGATATCAAATGGTTGAATCCCCTCATTTGACAAAGGTCAGATGTTAAATGACTTGGGTAATACTGCTAATAAGGGGCAGAATGACAATTCAAATCCAGGTTTTCTGGCTCCATATCTCATTCTCTCTTTCCACTATTCTTTTATTTTTATTATCCTTATTTTAAAGGAGTATAAACTGAGGCACCTTACTCTATATACTGTATGCATTCCTTGGATGGAATGCTCGGCTTGGAGTAAGACAGACCTGAGTTCAAATCCAGCGCCTTCCTAGCCATGTTACCTTGGACAAATCTCTTTCTGCCTCAGTTTCCTCATCTGTAAAGTGAGGATAATGATAGCACCTACCGGGAAGGGTTGTCGGGAGGATCAAATAAGATATTATTTGTCAAGCCCTTAGCACAGTGACTGGGACATAACATGCTTATTAAATGCTTGCTCTCTCTCCCTTTCCCCTCAAGGTCATAGAGATAATAAATGCCAAAGTGGTGCCTGGGACCTAGATTCTCCATTGACTATGCCGCCATATTGTTTTTGAAGCCCTGAATTCTCTGGACTTCAGTAGGCCCCAGTGACCAAATGTGCAGGCGCGCTAGTTAATTTGTAAATGAGCTCATTTCTGCAAAGGGAGTTTAACAGACATGGCTGCTTTCATTCGTGGAAGCAAATCCTGGCCCAAGAGATTTAACACCTTAGAGTCCTGCAAACCCAGGGCACTGCTATCAACATTCAGTCACTGCAGAATAAACCTTACAGGGGCTTTGCTAGAGAGATGGCTCACCCCATTCCACATATATGCCACCGTTACCAAGGTTACTGACAAAGACCAACCAGAGGGGGAAGGAGATGAGTGAGAGGATGCTGTGGGGCAGAGGAACCCAGACGGTGGCTTTTCATTATTACTGCCAGGTGCCAGGGCACCTCTACAGCTCAGACAGAGACAAAGCCTGCTCATTAGAGATTGCAACCTGGAGGGGGGAGGGGAAGGCCAGGCTAAACATTGCCAGATGAGGGCTTTCTGCAGGGAACCAGGGGAGCTGGCTTAAAGGCATCGACATTAGCAACTTAGAGAAGCTGGTGCCCACGTTCCTCAGCATCTAAGGAGCTGGAGGAGAGCAGGGAGAGTGGGACAGCAGCCAACCAAGTGGGATGCCTGTGCGCAGGTACCCAAGCAATGATGTCCTTGTCCTTCCTTCTGTGAAATTCCCCAAGCAAAACAGTCACCTAGCCCTGGAGCTTTCTGTCAGTCTGAACTTAAGCTTCTTTGGGAAAGAAACTGACAGGCTTTTTCAACAACCAAAACTCCCAGAAAATAGACAAGACACGTCTAGTTCTTACTTGACTAGAATCTGCTGACAACCCAGAAAGCAATTCATTTCTCCAGCATTTTGGGGCTTCACTTTAATGCATTTGAATTCAAGGTAACTCAGTTCAACAAACTCTTATTAAGCATATACTATGTGTCTGACTGCATTAGTTGTCTGGGGAGGGGGGGGTGACAAATTCAAAAAGGAAACCATCCCTGCCCTCCAGTAGTTGATCCTCTATCCAGTATCTATACCAAACATGGGATGATCAAGGGAAAAAGCTCTGGATTTGGAGTGAGAGGCTATGGGCACTGGAGAGATGCCAAGGTGATCCCAAGTATACCTCTCCTTTCTCTCTTCCTTTCTTCATCTGTACCAAGGTAGGTCTGAGGGTATGTGGAGTCACAGGATCATAGATTTAAAGTTAGAAAGGTGATCAAAGTCATCTAATCCAATACTCCTCATCTTGCAGAAAAGGAAATAGGTTAAGTGACTTGTCCAAGGTCATGGTTATTAAGCAGCAGAGCTGAGACTTGAACCCGTGACTTTAAATCCAGCACTCCTGACACTGTGCTTTATTATTCCTCTCCAGGAGTCCCTGGAATGTACCTTAGTTTATGGTGGTGCTTCTTAACCTTTTTCATGCCATGGACCCCTTTGGCAGACAGGTGAAACCTTTTCAGAATAATATTTTTTATTAATTGATGGGAATACTAAATTTGTTAGAGGTCAGTGAAAATAAAGATGTAATCCTTTTCCCATCCAGATTTGCATACTCCTTGAAATCTGTCCATGGTCCACAAACCCCAGGTTAAGAGAAATGTATTTCCCCTAGCTTAGAGGAACTAGATGGAGGCCTGGATTTCTTCTCTAGCTCTGGTGGCCTCTGATAAAACAGCTGACCCTGAGCTCCAAGTGGGCTTCTCCACCCTGCCTCTGTCTCTGATTGCTCTCCAATAGCTACTTGAATGATCACCAACATCTGGGCAGCACCAGGCTCTGAGAAACAAATGAGCAGGAGACGTGTAGGAGATGGGTCCTTTGGGCTGTCCCTAATAGGAAATACCACAGTCCAGCCAGGATCAATGGGTAAATTGCCAAGAAGCCAACTGAGAATTAATGGCAGTGGGAAAAGAAAAAAAAACTATCCAAAAATGGAAAAAACTACCTTGGAAGGTAAATGGGTTCACTGTCATTGGACTTCTTCAGGCAAAGGCCACAATAAGCACTCATTGGGAATGCTGTGGGGGGGGGGGGTCTTGAGGTGTAGGTTGGTCCAGTTGGACCATTGCAGTCTCTTTCCAACTAGGAGATTTTGTAATGCTATGTTAAAGTATGGTAGGCAATGAGAGACAGCTGCTCCAGGCACAGCCATAGAGTATGGAGTGAAGGAGGTGAGGAAAAAAAGAGAAATCACATGCAGAATGTAAGCTCCTTGAGGGCAGAGATTACTTTCAGCCTTTGTAGCTCCTTGCTTAGCACAGTGCCTACAACATAGTAGATGCTACATAAATGTTTGTCGGATAGTAGACTGGGGCCATGAAGTTCCCATCCCTTCCTAAGTCTGTGGCTTTGCTCACCTACAAGCCCCCTTCCTTTCCTAGTTGTCTAGCAAATGACATCTTCCTGTCACACAACTCCTACCTACAGATGAGTAGCACTCATCCTGCGTCTCTGCCGGAATATTATCAAGAGCTTTCCAGTACTTGCATACAGGATAGTGTGATATAAAGAAATGAGGATCATTTGGAGTCAAGAGAACTAGGGCTTCCCCATGATGTGTGTGACCTAGGGCAAGTCACTTAATCATTTTTGGCCTGAGTTTTTTTTTTCCTCCTAAAAATACTAGATGGCTTCAGAGGCCTCTTCTAACTCTAAATCTCTGCTCCTATGATCTCAGGGTATATAAATGACTCTAATATTGATTTCAGCACCATGGATAGCATGAGATGAGTGACAAAGCCCATTGTCAGTAGTCTAAAATGCCACTGTTGCCCTGGTGTGAAGGACCTGGGCAACACTGGTCCTTAATGGTGGTTAGCACCTCCTCCCACCCAGAGATAACAACTGTCACCACCAAAGTCATTGTCACCACTGGTTTTCCTCTATTGGATTAGAAGGGGGAGGGATAGAACCTCATTAGGTTAATGGGAAATAAATGTCATTCTGCAGATTTTCATTTTACAGCCGAGACATCCAAATTCCGACAAAGCTGGTGAATTATTAGCCAATAAATTTAAATGATGATTGGTGTTGTTTTGTGAAAAGATTGTCAGCCCATACACCATTTGATATGAAGACAAGTCAATTTAATGCAGTTGTTAAGTACCTTTCACTGGAGAGTTTCCAAGTACTTCTCAAGTATAGAAAAGCTGCCTGGGATTGTCGGGGAGCACTGTGTTCCATCCCCAGTGTCTAGCACATTGCTTAGAATACAGTAGGTGGATAATAAATGATTGTTGGTGTATTGGGTCCAAAGAAATAAACTTTCTATACAGCTAGAACATACTTTTTTAAGAACAGACTACTCCTTCCATTTCAGACATTTCTAATAGAAATATTTCAAAAAATACTATCACTATAATCATTCAACAAACATTTAATGTTGTTGCCATCATTCAGTAATTTCGGTCCTGTCCAACTCTTCATGACTCCATTTGGGGTTTTCTTGACAAAGATACTAGAGCGGTTTGCCATTTCCTTTTCTAGATTTACAGATGAGGAAACTAAGGCCAACAGAGTGAAGTGACTTGCCCAGGATCACACAGCTAGTGTCTGAGGCTGGATTTGAACTCAAGTCTTAATCCTGTTGGCCTTAGTAAGCAAGAGTCAGGATTCACACCTATGTCTCTGGCTCCAGGGTTGGCTCTTTGTATTCCTCAGACACCTGAACACAGAAAGACCTCAGTTTTATCTGTTGAATATGGATGTGGGTGGGGATGCAAGGGAATGACAATCAACATGACATATTCATTGGTAAGTAAATAAGAATAAAAGAAATCCTAGTGAATGGAAAGTCAGGTGAGTCACTGACAGCTCAGAAAGTCAGTATATCTTCTTTGCAAAATATGGCTCTTGAATGGAGCCTTCAACTGGGGTAGGGGTTTCAGGAGGCCAATGGAGGTAGCATTCTAGGGGCAGAGGACAGCCTGGGTTTTGCAACAGCATGTACAAAGATCAATTAGCTGACCCTTAATCTCCACTTAATTGTGAGAGAAGTAACTATTAATAACCAAGGATTTGGGGGGATTCAGATTTCTCCCTTTTTCTTTTATCCTCATTTCAAGACCACAGTTTCTGAAACTTGAGTTAGCCTTCTCCATCCAGACCCCACCCAGGTGGGGCAGCCACTATGTTTCACTCAGGTTAGGGTGGAGATAAATTCTTTGAATAGACTGCCCAAGGCTAGGCTGACTAAGAAGTAAATGACATAATCAGAGTTCAGGTCCAGCCTCTCATTGTAATATTCATTCTTCATTAATTGTTAGCCAGTCAGAGTGGATTGCCACCCTGGGAACCATAGCTCTTCCAAAAGGGCATATAAGCCAGCGCCCAGGGCCATGATTGTCCTGGGTCTAAGAGATGGCCAAGTGACCACTCTTTTATTAAAATGCTGGCATTATTAATAAGATGATTAAATTACTCAAATTATGTCTCTCAAACTTTTTAGACTTCACAGTTATCTGTAAAATGAGCATTATAACCCCCCTCAACAGGCCGTCCTAAGGCTCAAAAGAGATGGTGTAATTAAGCTGCTTTGCAAATGTTAAAGCACTTTGTTGACTTTATTGAGGGGACTGAGCTAAACACAAAAATCGGTTTTTGTTGTTGATGTTGTCTTTATTATAATTAGCTGCCTCATGGAATTGAAGTGGGTTCAAATCCTGACTCTAACAATCACACTGTGACCCTGGAGGACAAGTGACTTCACCTTGACTCTGGTAACTCCTTTAGCCTTATCAACTAAGCCAGAGGGACTGCAACCTGTGTTGGTGAAAGGAGTCCCTATAATGGGAGTTCCCCAGCACTGACAAAATCACACATTTTTTTTTATATTATTGTGATTGCTTACTAGGAAGGAAGGGCATTCAGTCATCCTGGCTCACAGCCAGCAGTCCATTCCAGAGCTCTCCAGGCCTAACCATAAATGTCTTGTCTTCATTTGCTCTCTACAATGAGGAGGGAGCTCCCCAAGACAAAGGATGGTTCCCCTTGATCTACCTGTTCACAAAGTGTCCCAATGAGGGTTTCCAAATCCTGCTTCTCATGGAGGACCATCTTCTTCTCCTCACTTTCCTGTTCCAACTGCATCTCCAACTGCCGTAGCTATGCACACAAGGAGAGAACATAAGGCAGGTGAGCAGAGAATGTGGGTTCAAATCTTGATTCCTACAACAGTTCTGGGCACAAGATAGGTGCTTAATAAATGCTTGTGGGAGGAATGGATAAACAGATACATGAATGGGTGGATGAGCCATTTAGACTAGATGATCTCTAAATTGGAAGGAAAGAAGGAAAGTTAGGAAGGAAGGAAGGAAGGAAGGAAGGAAGAAGAAGGAAGGAAGGAAGGAAGGAAGGAAGGAAGGAAGGAAGGAAGAAGGGAAGAAAGAAGGAAGGAAGAAGAAGGAAGGAGGGAGAGAGGAAGGAAGGAAAGAAACAAACAAACAAATGAAGGAAGGAAGGAAAGGAAGGAAAGGAAAGGAGGAGAAGGAAGGAAAAGAAAGGAGGAGAAGGAAGGAAGGAGAAAGGGAGGAGAGAGGAAAGAAGAAAGGTAAAAAGAAAGGAAGGAAGGAAGGAGAGAGGGGGAGAGAGGAAAGAAGGAAGGAAGGAAAGAAAGGAAGAAAGGAAGGAAGGAAGGGAGGGAAGGAAGGAGAGAGGAAGAGGGGGAAGGTACCATGTGGTGAGATTCTCCCCTCCTTCCTTGCTTCATTTACACCCTCCCCAAGCTGTGTTTTTTGCTCCCTGCCAGGGTATGAAATCACCAGGTACAGCTCTGGTCTCAGGCTAAAAGTACATTGTCCTTCTTGAGGAGGTGACTTGAGGCCAGTCTGAGCTGAGTGGTCAGTGAGTGTGTGAGGAGACAGGCCCCAGAAGCAGAGACACAGGCCTCGAGAAATCCTATCACAATGATGAATGAGGCTGCCTGCTATAAGTCTATCTATTATAATTTTCCCCAGAATGACAGAATGCCAGGGCTACAGAGGTTTTGTCTGGGAGTGGATTGAGATGTAACACTGGCTGTTTTTGCCAGGGTCAGGGCCCTGACAGTAATGGTGCCACCCATCTGTCAAGTGCCTAACCAAGCCTGGGATAGGCTCAGCACCCCTCCCCAATACCCCAGAGAATGGTAGCCTCTGCTCCCCATCAGCAGCTCTTTCTCTAACCCGATAGATGAATTCTTCCCACAAATGAAGAAATTTAGCAAAGCCTAAGGCCAGAGAGGCCCATGGCCATGGCTTGCAAGCTCCTTGCCTCCTTCCATGGAAAGGAGAGTTCTACACAGACAAGTGTCTCCTTAAAAATGCTCATGGTCAACTGGAGAGACAGAAGCAAGAAGACCAAGAAAAGAGGCTGCTGGAGGAGTCTGGGTCTGAGACAAGAAGGGCCTGGGCTGCAGTGGCAGGAGGAGGGATAAAAGTCAAAAGTCAAATGAGAGATAAAGGAAGAATTAACCTAATATGATGACTGGGTGTTGGGGGGGATAGAAAAGGGAAAGTCAAGGATGACTTCAAGGTTTGAGCCATGGTGCCAGGAAGCATGATTCTGTCAATGAGAGAGATAGAGAAATCCAGAAGGACAGCAGGCTTGGTGGGAGAAATAATGAGTTCAATTAAACTCATGATGGGCTTGAGGTTATCAAATTAGATCATAGGATTTCAAGATGGAAATATCACTGAGATTATCTTTAGTCTAATTCTCTCCTTTTACAGAATAGGAAACTGAGGCCCAGAGAAGGAGAGGATTTGTCCTGGTTTTACAGGTAAAAAGTGGCAGATATGGGGTTAACATCTTTTGACTCCAAATCCAAATACAGAGGGATCTTTCCATTGAACCCTAAAGTCCAGGAGAAAATTGAGAGATAAGTGAGCTAAAGTTCCCAGGAGAAGTTATTGTTTCTTCCTCCTCTGTGCTTATTCCAATCCTATGCTATCCTTCAATGTTATTGCTTCAGTGCTCACCTCTTACATGAAGTTTTATTAGCATTACGATGATAAAAACATAGAGCATCCAAGCCAGAAAACTAGACAGTCAGGTCCAGCTATGAACTTTCTCCTCCAGAGCCTCATTTCTCTCATTAACCCAAACAGAATTCTCCTTTCTCAGAGCTCTCTACTGCAGCCAATAGAAGCAGCATGGCCTAGGAGAAGTAGCCCTAAAAGAAACGTGAATTTTAATCCTGCCTTGGACAGTTACTAATTATAAGACTACAAGAAATCTTCTTAACCTCTCTAAGCCTCAGTTTCCTTGCCTATAAAATGGGGACAATAATAATACAGGTCTTACTTATCTCTGGGTTATTGTAGGAAAAGTACTTTGTAAATCTGAATGTGTATAGCATATGTATGTGTATAATTATGTAGATACAAATATACACAGGTAGCGCCCTTCATTGAATGTAAATAGATACAGAGCAGTGGTCACTATTAAGCATAATAGTGCAGATGGGGTGTTTGAATATAGCCTCTCTTAATGCAAGGTTGCATTCATTTTCCTGTGATTTTCCTGGTGATCTATGTTGAGTTTGTATTTGGGAGGCAGAGTCAAGATGGCAGAGTAAGAGGAAGTAGTTGAACTTAGCCCCCATTATCTCTTCTCCACAACAATCTAGGAAATGCAATAGACTTATTTCTGATTGGGAAAGTTAAGAAAACATTACAGTGAGCTGAGCTAATATAATAAAAATGACAATTCTTCCTAAGCTAATTTACTTATTCAGTGCCATACCAATCAAACTTCCAAAAAATTATTTTATGGAGCTAGAAAAAATAACAAGATTCATTTGGAATAACAAAAAGGTCCAGAATATCAAGGGAACTAATGAAAAGAAATGCAAGGGAAGGTGGCCTAGCTGTTCCAGATCTTAAATTGTATTATAAAGCAGCAATCATCAAAACTATTTGGTACTGGCTAAGAAATAGAGCACAGTGGATCAGTGAAATAGGTTAAGTATGCAAGACACAGTAGTCAATGACTATAGTAATCTACTATTTGATAAACCCAAAGACCCCAGCTTCTGGGATAAGAACCCACTATTTGACAAAAACTGCTGGGAAAACTGGAAAAGAGTATGGCAGAAACTAGGAATAGACAAAAATCTCACACCATATACCAAAATAAAGTCAAAATGGGTTCATGATTTAGTTATAAAGGCTGATACCATAAGCAAACTGGGAAAGCAAGGAATAGTTTACCTCTCAGATTTATGGGGAACAGAAGAATTCATGACCGAACAAGAGATAGAGAGCATTACAAAATGCAAAATGGATGATTTTGATTACATTAAATTGAAAAGTTTTTGTACAAACAAAGCTAATGCAACCAAGATTAGGAAGGAAGTAGAAAATTGGGAACGAATTTTTACGACCCACCTCTCCGATAAGGGCCTCATTTCTAAAATATATGGAGAATTAAGTCAAATTTATAAGAATGTAAATCATTCCCCAATTGATAAATGGTCAAAGGATATGGACAGGTAGTTCTCAGATGAAGAAATTAAAGCCATCTATTAGTCATATGAAAAAATGTTCTAAATCATTATTGATTAGAGAAATGCAAATCAAAACAACTCTGAAGTACCACATCACACCTATTCAGATTGACCAACATGACAAAACAGGAAAATGATAAATATTGGAGAAGATGTGGGAAAATTGGAGCACTAATGAATTGTTGCTGGAGTTATGAAATGATCCAACCATTCTGGAGAGCAATTTGGAACTATGCCCAAAGGGCTATAAAATGTGCATACCCTTTGACCCAGCAATAGCACTTCTAGGGCTGTATCCCAAAGAGATGATACAAATGGGGGAAAGGACCCACATGTACAAAAATATTTATAGCAGCTCTTTTTGTGGTGGCAAAAAATTGGAAAGTGAGGGGATGCTCATCAATTGAGGAATGGCTGAACAAGTTGTGGTATATGAATGTAATGGAATACTATTGTGCTATAAGAAATGATGAACAGACTGACTTCAGGAAAACCTGGGAAGACTTATATGGTCTGATGCTGAGTGAAGTGAGCAGAACCAAGAGGACTCTGGACACAGTAACAGCCAAGTTATGCAATGACTAATTTTGATAGACTTAGCCCTTCTCAGCAATGCAAGGATCTAAGACATCTCCAAAAGTCTCATGATGGAAAATGCTATCCATATCCAAAGAAAGAACTACGGAGTTTGAATGCAGGTCGAAGCATACTATTTGCTATTTTTTTCTTCTGTTTTGTTTCCTCTTTCTTGTGGTTCCTCTTATTGGTTCTAATTCTTCCTTACAACATGACTAATGTGGAAATATGTTTAATAGGAATGTATATGTAAAGCCTATATCAGATTGTGCACCATCTTGAGGAGGGAGGTGGGGGGGGGAGAAAATTTAAAACTCAAAATCTTATGTAAACTATTGTTGATAAATCAAAATAAATTAATAATTTTTTTTAAAAAGAAAAGAAAACATTACAGTGATTCATTTTGTCCAGCCCAGGACAACTTAGGGAGACAGAGAAGTCTGTGGAGACTGTGGACAGGATCCATCCATGAGTGCACATGAAGCTTTCTAGTAGCCAGGGATCAAAGAAGGGCCAAGATGGGGCACCAAAGCAAAAGGCATCAGGGCAATAAGAAATCCCTGAACTATAACTGGGAACAGGAGCTTTTTAGTAGCTCTGTTACTCATTACCCAATTCCAGGTCTAAGAAGAACAGTCACAAGCATGAGCCCCATGTACCGAGCAAGGAACAAGTTCTAGAAACTTAGCTCTGTGACTCTGACCCCACAAACAGAGCTGGAGCTCAGTTCTAGCCTTCAGCCCAACCTGTAAGTCTGCAGTGAAATAACCAGGGTAGGAATCCTAAGTCAAAAGGGAGCAGGCAATTCATCTGCTCTGAACCTGCAGGCTAGTAGTGACAGAGTCCAGCAGCAGTCTACTGAAACTCTCAACAAAGAACAAGCCAACTGACCCAAACCTGAGTCAGGAACTTGTAGAGCTCACACCTTTTCCTAGATCACACCTTGAAAGCACTGAAAGATTGCAGACTCCTAGTCAGAGCTGTGAAAGCAGCAGGAGGATGTAAAAAGACAGAAGCTCAGACCAGACATCCTCCTCAGAAGTGAGCAGAGCCCAGAACTAAGATAACATCCAAAGTCAAGGAGTTGGCTGAAAGAATGAGCAGACAAAAAAATAATCCCACCACAAAGGGCTAATCTGGTAACAGGGGAGCTCAAGACATAAAAACAAAAGAGGAGAATGATTTAAAAACATCTAGCAGCAATGCCTCAAGGAAAAGTGCAGCTTGGGCACAAGCTCAACAAGAATTCCTAGAGGAATTAAAGCAAGAGTTTTTTAAAAAGCTAAAAAATTATTTTAAAAGCCAAAAGCAAGAAGCAGAGGAAAGAAATATGTAAAAAGAAAATCAACTGCTTGAAATAAAGATCTTATCCAAGAAAATAACTCCCTAAAAACTAGAATTGGCCAGTTTGTGGAAGCTAATGATTCTGTGAGACATCAATAAATAATAAAACAAAATCAAAAGTCTGAAAAAATAGAAGGAAATGTGAAATATCTCATAGGAAAAACAACTGACCTGGAAAATAGAGGAGAGATTATTTAAGAATTATTGAACTATCTGAAAGCCATGAACAACAATAACAAAAGCCTAAACATCATATTTTAAGAAGTCATAAAAGAAAACTGCCAAGATCTCATAGAACTGGGGGACAAAATAGAAATTGAAATAATCCACTGAACACTTCTTGAAAGAATCTCCCAAAATGAAAACTCCTAGGAATATTATAGTCATAATCCAGGGCTCCAAATCAAGGGAAAATTACTGAAAGCAACCAGAAAGTACTGAGGAGGAGGCACAGTCAGGATCACACAAGATTTAACAACCACCACTATAAAGAAATGGAGAGCTTAGCATATTATATTCTAAAAGGTAAAGGATCTAGGCTTGCAACCAAAAATACCCTATCTGAAAAAACAGTATAATCCTATGGAGGTGGAAATAGATCTTTAATGAAGTAGAGGACTTCCAAGAATTCCTGAAGAAAAGACCATAGCCAAGTACAAAATTTGCCACGCAAACGTAAGAGTCAAGAGAAGTATATTTAAAAAAAAAACATGAGTGAGAAATACAAGGAATTAAATAAGATTAACTATGTAGATTCTTTTATGAGTAGACAACATATGTAGCTTCTCAGAACTCTACCATCAACATGGGTCATGATGGAAATCTAATTAGACAGGGGATGTGGGAATGATTTTATTATGTTTTGATGATCTCAAAAGAAGAATGGGAAGAATGAGGAAAAGGAACACACTGGAAGAATAAGTAATGGAAAAGAAGAATGTAGGGAAATGTCACATAGATAGGGTGTGTAAGCAGTAGTTTATAAAACAAGGACTGTTTGAAGGGGTAGCAGACAACACTTGAACTTCACTTTCATCTGAACTGGTTATGAAAAAGGAAGACTACACATAAACACAATTGTGTTCAGAGATGCAGCTAACCCACAAGGGAAGCAGAAGGGGAAAGAGTTAAGGGGAAAGGGAAGAATAACACAGTGTGTAGATTAAGGGAGGCATTAGTTAGAAACAAAATTAACTCTTAAAGAGGGGACAGGGCAAAAAAGAGGAAGAAAAGTTTAAAAGAATAGGATGGAGAGAAATACATGGTTAGCAATCATAACAGTGAATGAGAATGGCATGAACTCACTCATAAAACAGAAAAGGATATCAGAATGGGTTAGAAACCAGAATCCAACAATATATTGTTCATAGAAACACACTTAAACTGAAAGATAAACACAGAGTTGAAATAAAAAGTTAGAACAGAATCTATTATGCTTCATATGAAATAAAAAAAAATCAGGGGTAATAATCATGATCTTGCACAAAGCAAAATTAAAAGAGGTAGGGAAACTGAATTTGGGTAAGAAGAGTACCACAGACAATGAATTAATAGTAATATTATGCCCCAAATGGTATAGCATTTAAATTCCTAATGGAAAAGTTAAATGAATTTCAGAAAGAAATAGACACTAAAATTACAATAATAGGAGACCTCAATTCACCCCTCTCAGACCTAGATAAATCAAACAAAAAATAAGCAAGAAAGTTTATATTTTATCACACCCTCCAGATCTTCAGATGAGTTTCTGTGTAGTCACATGTCATCCATCTTCTACTTGTAAAATTTACTTTCTGAAACTAAGAGTAAGACTTTATATTTAACCTTATTAAATTTAATCCTATTAGATTTAACCCAATATCTTGCCAAAATGTTTTAGAATCATGAGTGTGTTAGCTTTGCTTTCCAGTTTTGTGGCAGCTACATATTTGATCAGCCTATCATCTATGCCTTTATCCAAGTCTTTGTTAAAAAATGCTAAACAATAGTGTCAAACATAGATTCTTGGTGCACATCACTGGAGATTACTTTCTAACAACATCCAGTTATTATTTGGGGGGCCCAACTATTTAACTATTTCTGAATCTTTCTAATTATACTACAATACAGCCCACATCTTTCCACCTTTTCCATAAGCATATCATGAAAAGCTTAGGCTAGCATAGTTCTAGCACATAATAAGGACTCAAGAATAATATTACTTGAAATTAATTGAATTATCATGAAAATTCTCTGGAAGAGCCCTGTCTATGTCATGGGACTGACGAGTCTCTATTAAAGACATCAGTCCTCTTCAATCATTTACTTAAGGTGCCTACTGTACTCCAGGCCCTAAGTTCAGTGCTAGGAGTAAAACAAAAAAAAACAGAAATGATGAATACCTGTCCTCTGGACTGCCCTCAAGGAGCTTACATCCTACTGAGGATGAGAAAGAGATGACATATACACAGATGGTCAAGCATGGGGTAAGGAGTGATGGTGGTATGGGGAGCTCTAGGAAAACTGAGAAGAGAGAAATTTCTTAGTTGGGAGGAAGGGCCAATCAGGGAAGACCATAATGACACAGTGACACCTGAGCTGAGCCTTATGTGAAGAAGATTTTGAAAGGCAGGAATGAGCAGGTCCTAGGTTCCACATATGAGGAATGGCCCATGTGAATACATGGAGAGAGCTGTGTGAAGGTAGATGTGTAAGTACATGCCAAGTCTGAGGAGCAGTTACAGGGACTCTTTGGCCAGAACATAGAGTGGCCGAAGTGGAGTGATGGTTCAGTAAGGATGGAGATTGTATAGAGCCTTAAAGGCCAAGCTAAGAACACACTCACTGTGGGGGTTTTTTAAAAGCCAGTAAAATGATGAAATTATTCACAGTGAAATGATCAGAACTGTGCTTTAGGGAGGGTATTCAGAGGGCAGGGATTTTTATTTTTGCCTTTCTTTGCATTAATGCTTAGCACAGGCCTGGCACATGGCAGCACTTAATAAATGCTTATTAAGTTAAGCTAATTCATATCTATAATCCTGTGGTCCTGACTGTATAAGAGGGAGAGGAGAGAAGGATAACAGTCAAAAATGACTCTGAGGTTCTAACCCTGGGTAATAGAAGGACAGGGCAGCTGGATAGTGCCGTAGCACACAGAGGGCCAGCACTGCAGTCAGAAAGATCTGAGTTCAAATCCAGCCTGAGAAACCTTCTAGCTGTGTGACCCTGGGCAAGTCACTTCACCCTGTTTGCCTCAGTTTCCTCATCTGTAAAATGAGTTGGAGAAGGAAATGGCAAACCATTCTAGTATCTCTGTTAAGAAAACCCCATATGGGGTCATGGAGAGTCGGACACACCCAAAATGACTGAACAACAACAATATCTATTTCTCAGTGACTTGAAGGGAAATTTGGTGGAGTGATTCACAGCAGCATAAGAGGCTCCTGGAGACACTGGTGATCACACAGCAGGTCTTCCACTCCCAAGCCCTCCAAGAGGGTACCATGGCACTCTTGCCATCTTTTAGAATGCAGCTTCCCAGGTGCCCTGCTAAAGCCAGTCCAGGCAGCCAGGCTCTGGCATTACAAGGAGACCCCCCACTGTGGGCGCCAGGGCACCTAATGACCTACCCGCTTTTGGCAGGACTGGCGCACATCCTCCAGCTCTTCCTCTTTGTCCTCCTGATCCTTGAGATGCATCTGTTTCATCCGCTCGATCTCCATCTCAAACCGAACTCGCAGCTGAGAGGGCACCAAGAGTGACCGCCACATCGGGGGAAGGGCACGTAAAACCACAAAATAATAAAGATGGTCACAGGGCTGGGTTCTCCTGTTTGGCAAGCTACCTGTGCAGATGCTTAGTAAATGAGGAAGCTAAGCTAGCATTTGAGCCCCTGGGGCATTCATAAAGTCCCATCCTGGGATTCCAGCCTGGAAGTAGTCTCAAGAGGCCTTCTAGTCCAACCAACTTCCCGTCCATTTTATAGATGAATAAGTTGAGGATCAGGAAGGCTGAGTTACCTTCACAAGGTCACCCAGGTAGTGAGGACCAGGGTTACTGCAGGACTCCAATGAGATTGTGTAGGTAAAGTATTTTACAAACTTAAAAGTATTACATGAGAATAATCAGGGCTCCTCCTCTCCTGGAACACACAGATGGACAAATGCCAAAAATCTGATCATGAGTAGTGAAATGGATGCCTCTTTTCATCTGGTCAGTTGCCTTCAGAATCTCTAGGGAGGCCACCTGGGGCATTGGAGGGAGAGCAGCATAGGAGTCAGTAAGACCTGGGTTCAAACTTGCCTCTGACACAAACGGGCTGTGTGTCCCTGGGCAGGTCACTTGCCCTCTGTGCTCCAGGCAACTTGCAAAGTAAGGATCTAAGTCATCCAAAAAAAGGAGCTGATCTTCACTGGTGAGGGAGCTTTCTCTTTGAGAGTTCCCTATACCAATGAAATCCCAGGTCTGGTCTTAAATAATGGGCAGCCAGGTGGCACAGTGGATAGAATGCTGCCAGCTCTGGAATCAGAAGGACCTGATCAAATGCGGCCTCAGATACTTCCTAGCTGTGTGACCCTGGGCAAGTCACTTTACCCTGTTTGCCTCAGTTTCCTCATCTGTAAAATGAGCTGGAGAAGGAAGTGGCAAACCCCACCAGCTGGGAGGAGAGGAGAAGGGAGGAAGGTGGGAGGTCCTCTGTACCTGCTCCAGTTTCTTAATCGTAGTCTCTTGCTCACTCTGTATCTGCTGCTGCTCGAAGGCACTGGACTTCAGGTCCCAGAGCTCTCTCTGTAAGGCATCTACGGCTTCCACCCCAAGGGGCCCTAAGTCAGTGGTTTGACTCTTCAGCATCTCAAGCTTCTGTTTCAGACCCAGAGTTTCCTGCTCCCTTTCCTGGGGAAAGAAAACATGTCAGGCACTGGACCGAGGAGACTGCAGGAGACACGGGCGTCCAAGACACCACATGTATACAGATAAGTCAGTCAGTCAGTAAACATTTATTAAGCACCTACTATGTGCTGGGCAGTGTGCTAAGGTACTCTGAGGAAGGAGAGCACACATATGGGGTAGGGATGGGCATGGAACAGAGAAGCCTTCCTAGAGGAAGTGGGACATGAACTGAGCCTTGGAAGAAAGGATGTTTCTGAGCAGGGTGTACATTCCCGGCATTATGTGAAGGCACCTCTGCACAGCTGGAGTACACATCCCAATTCCCAAATGAGTGAAGCAAGCAGGGATGGGAGATGGGAAAAGTTAGTAGGTATGTTTGGCCAGAACATAAGAGTATGCTAAATGGGGCAGCTAGGTGGTGCAGAGGATAGAGCACCAGCCTTGGAGTCAGGAGGACTTGAGTTCAAATCTGGCCTCTGACACATGACACTTGCTAGCTGTGTGACCCTAGGCAAGTCACTTAACTCCATTGCCCAACCCTCCCCCCAAAAAAAGTATGCTAACTAAATCTGGATAGTAAGAGCTGGATGGTGAAGGGCTTTGAATGCAAGGCTAAAGAATTTGTATTGATTCTAGAAGTAATGGGGAGCCATTGAAGGGTTTTGAGAGGAGGAGTAACCTTGAGTCTTTCCTCCTCAAGTTCTTGATATGCCCTGTACAGGACATCGCCTTTCCTGCTGTACGCTCCCTGTAGATTCCATTTCCCATCTCTGCGCCTTGGCACAGTTAGGCGCCATGCCCAGCAATGGTCTCCATTCTCATCTCTGCCTCTTGGAACTCTGGGCACCTCACAGGCTCAGCCTCCTGACCCTTTCAGGTATTAATGCAGCCCCCTCCCCAATCCCTGTATTTTTTTTCGTGTTTGGTAGGGATCGATTTATCTGTGAATACGTTGCTTCCTCTCTGAGTACAACGTAAGCTACTTGAGGACAGGAACTATTGGTTGGCTCATCTATGGAAGGATGTGGGCAAAACCCTCCCGGGTGTCAGAGGCCTGAATTCCTCCCCTGCCCCCCTGGAAGAAGGCTCTCTGTCCACGATGTCACTAGGCCACTCTTGTTCTGAGGTGTCCCTCCAAGGAAGAGTCTCCTGCTGCCGTCACAAGCAATCCCCACGACCTTCACTCCCCAAGTCCCATAACCTGCCCCAACCCCATGACAATACAGGCTTCTTGAGGATGGGGATTGTTTCATCTCTGTCTTTGTATATCCACAGTAGCAGGCACACAGTAGGCACTTACTAATACATGCTAGTTGATTGACTAATCGATTGGCTCTTAGTTTCTTCATCTATAAAAATGAGGCTGGATTCACTGGCCTCTAAAGTCACTTCCAGATCTGATCAGGGACCCTATGAACCTCACTTTGCAGTGATTTCCTTACTCCTGGGGACTCCCAGCATGGAAACTCCTTCCACTGGCACATCAGAAGCTCTCTGAGAACTGCCTGGTACAGTGAGAGCCTAAGTCACTTGCCTAGGGTCACACAATATGGGTCAGAGACAGGACTTAGACCTGGATCCTTGCTGATCCCAAGGCCAACGCTCAATGCATGCCATATTGCCTGTCACATATATTAGGGCCTTATAAATGGACATTGAATTGAATTCCTATTTTTGCAAATGAGATCATCAAGGTATAAAGAGACCAAAGGATTTATTCCAGGAAACACAGCTTAGTAGGAGTGAATGGGAATGAAAAGAAGCAGAGCAAAACAAGCCAGTCTCCTTCCTGCCTCCTCAAACAGCACTCAGCACTGAATGATACTTCCTCTCAGGGGCTGGAGAACAAAGACCCCACTGGCTGCTTGCAGAAATCTTTACCCATCCCACTGGGCTGCTTCAGAGCAGAGTAAATGCAAGAACACAGGCCTTCCCAAACTATTCACCTCCCCTTCCTATGAGCATACAATTCATGTCTAGCTTTTTGTACTTGAATCAGAAAAGTCACGGGGCCCCCGGGACCTGTGGCTCTTCCTCTCCACTTACCTCTAACTTGCTCTGAAGTATGCCAAGCTCCCACCGGATGCTAGCATTTTCCTGGGACAGTTTCTCCCGGAGGCCCCTTTCAAACAATGATTCGCCAATAGCCTGGGTTAATTGCATATCAAACCTGCCCGGGAAAGAAAGGATGTTACTGCTTCTTTTCAACAGAAGTTGGAGGAAAAAGAGGAGGGGAGGAGGAGGGGAAGGAAAGATGGAAAGAGAATATGGCAAGGAATGAGCAAACAGATGATGCAGGCAGGGTATACCGTGTGTGTGTGTGTGTGTGTGTGTGTGTGTGTGTGTGTGTGTGTGTGTGTGTAAAAATACATAGCTATAATACATACATATAACAATACATATGGATGCATGTAAAAATATGTAGCTGTAATTTCAAGAGGGGCATTTCTAAAGTCCAGGAGAATCATAGAATCGAGAGTCTGAAGTCATATAGCCCAGCTCCTCCATTTTAACAGGTCCAGAAAGGCTCACTTATTTTCTTGAATTTACTTTTTGTTTGTTTTGAGGGTTAAGTGAGTTGTCACATGGTATTTTCTCAAATTAATACAGGTAGTCTGTGGCTGAGCTGGGATTGAACCCAGACTCTCAGACTCCCGTTTCAACGGTCTCTCTGCCCCTCCATGTTACCTCCTTAAAGGACACGCTGACACCAGCTACAACCCTTCTCCTCGCCTTGCAGGGGGCTCAGAATACCTCAGCTAGGTGGCTGTTGCCCCAGATGGAAAGAACATTTGCTGAGGCCATGAGTGATAGATTCAAAGTCTTATTCCACATCAATCCTCATTCCTCCAGAAAGCAGAGGACCCTCAAGCTGGGAAGAGGCTGCCTTTCAATCTGGAAGGGCTCACTCATCACTCAACCAGTCACAGCTAAACTGTCCGGGGTGAGCCCACCCTACCACACCCCAGGCCTAGAGCCCTGGGAGGAGAGGAAGGCATGATTCCCATGGACGCGTCTGCAGGCTCACTTGGAGAACACAAGTAACTCAACATTTCTGGGCATCCTGGTGACTTTAATAGCACCAGAGGACTACAGATTGGGGGTAACCTATGTAAATTGTTTCACAAACCTTAAAGTACTGTCTACATAAATGCTATCATTTTATTATAATTACTACTATTATTATAGATTTCATGCTAAAAGGGACCACAAATCATCTAGTTTAATCTCCCCATTTTATAGATGAGGAAACTAAGGCTGAGTTGGGTTTTGAACTCAAACTTTCAACTCCAGACCCCACCCGGATTCTATTGCAGGGCTCTTATTGAAACCATGAGACAGCATAGTTCAATAAAAGAATAAAGGATTTGGGGCAAGTGTGGAGATGGAATAGAGCCCTTCTAAGGTCCCTTATAAGTCGACATCCAAGATCTTATAAAAATTCCCTCTTTAGCCGTGATGCCAGCCTTCCACAAAGGTAAGGAATGACAGTATTTCTAAGACCATTTACATCTCAGAATCTCCCCATTGGAAGGGAGCTCACAAGTGATTCAATCCAACTTGGCATACAATAAGTGCTCAATAAATGCTCATCAGCTGGTGGGCAATTTGTACCTATACCAGAATCCCTTCTGTCAATCACACGCTCTGTTAGTGATCATCCAGCCTTTAACTGATGGCCCTTCCCCACCCAGTAAGAAGGAAAGACTTACCCTAGAGGCAGCCCCTTCCAGTCCCCCATAGATCTATCACCTGGGGCCGAGCAGAACTAGGCTAAGCCTTTTTCCACTGGTCAGCCTTTCAAATCTTCGAGCATAACTATTGCGCCTCCCCTAAGTCTTCTCTTCTCCAGGCTAATAATCCCCGGTTCCTTTGACTTGGTCCTTGTCTGGTATGCTCTCCAGTCCTCTCACCATCCTGGTCATCCTCCTCTGGACGAGCTCCAGGTTGCCAGTATTCTAGTCAGGGACCCTCCACGCCACCTCTGGAAGCATGTGAATGGCCACCCCACACACTGCTCTCCGTGACTCATTGATCAACTATGAAAGGCTAGGCGAAGCAATCGGAAACACAAATGTATTTACTTCCCTGGAAGCCTGACTCCTTGCCCCAAATTAGGAGCAGAGTCAGTCAATTGGGCAGCAAGAAGTCCCACTGGAGTCATTTCCCAGGGAGGTTGTTCAGCCAAGGCTCAGGCCAACAGATTCTATCAGCTCTCAGGTCTGACCTTTATGACCCACTTTGTCACTATAGCAACGACAGATAGATGCCTGGGGTCCATTCTGGGCCAGTAGTCTTCAAGAAGCTTTAGCACCAAGGGGGACAAAGAGCTGGGACCAGAATGTCCGCGAGGTGTCATTTTGTACTGCCCACATGAGGCGTGGGTGGTGGCCCAGGCTGGGGAGGTCCAGCAGATAGGCCACCTATACAGGGTATCTTGAGGGCCACCTGGAGGTGTGCTGCCTGATCTTACACCATTAGCAAGCCAGTCTGCCGTGGAAAGGCCCTGCGATATCCAGGAGACACCCCACCACCACCACCAAAGTTGAAATGTTGTATGGATGGCCAATTGCCAGGTACGTTGTGAAGCAGATTTCTGTTCAGTGAGATGGCACAGTTTGGGGATCAGGAAAAGGGCAGGAAATTTTGGTCTGGAGTGTAGGGCACCATTTGGAACAGTCTCCAGTCCTCTAACTGTCCTGGGATGCTACACAAAGGACAGAGGAGGCCGGAAAGGGAAGACGAACGTCTGCTAATATCTCTGAGTCTGTTTGCACCATTTCGCCATGTTTTGACATAGACCCTCCTCTGCTAGAAGGTAAGCTCCTTGAGGGCAAAGGAATTTTTGTTTTTATCTTTGAAGCCCCTGTTGGCTAGCACAGAGCCCAGAACATAGTAGGCTCTTAAATGCTTCTCAGTTGATGGATGGACCAAGGTAAAGACTTCCCAGAGGGTCTTCATCCTCTTGAAGAGAAAACAGAGCAGGGGAAAAGCAAACTCCTGGGTGGAGAGAGGGAGGCGAGCGCTAAATGGTGCTCAGGTTCGATGTCGGCACACCTCAGTGGAGTTACAAATTCTATTTGCTGCCTTTTGGTAAACAGTCACTTATGGTAAACACACAGGCATATGCGAGTCTGACAGCACACAGGAATCTTCCTTCTCTGAGTCAATAAGCAGCTCCATCCCCCTCCCTCTGGCTTGGAGTTTCCACTACAGAACAAAAGGATGGAAAAGAGCCCGCCACCCAAACAGCTCCAGATGCCCTAAGGCTGACTCTGACCAGGCAAGCTTCCAGGAGAAGCCCACCCTGTCCCAAAGGTCAGAATGGGAAAAGAGGAGGAGGATGGGGGCACCCTGACCCAGGGGGCTGGTCATCTGCTCGGACCCAGCTCCCCTCTACACTTCTGGGCACAGATTCCCAATGTGACAGTCATAGACACATACCAGAGCAACTTCCTTTGGGGGTTCCTTGGGGGTTCCAGTCATTGTTTTCCCTATCTGGAGGAAATTATAGCTTTCATAAATCTAGAGGTAGGAAACACCTCCGAGGCCATCTAGTCCAACCCCAGCTTTACAAGTGGGGAAACTGAGGCTCAGAGAGCAGAGCTGACTTTTCTAAGTAAGGGCAGGAACACAGGGTCATAGGTACAGAGCTGGAGGGACCCCAGAACCCTCTTCATTTTGCAGATGAAGAAATGAAGAGCCAGAGAAGATCAATGAGGTGGCCAGAGTCACACAGTAAGTGGCTGAATGGGGATTTGAATCTAGGACCTCTGACTCCCAATCTTTCTCCCCCTCCAGCCCCCACCCCCGTGTTCTTCCCCAGGCTCTCCACCATCCTCCCCTCTGCATGCTTAGATTCTCAGCCCTTAAAGTCTTTGATGACGCCTGCCGAGCTCACCCTCTCCACCCCCACCCCTCCCTCAGACTACAGCTTTGGACCAGATTTGTAAAGCCATTGCCCTGAGAAGCCCCTGCTCTGCCAAGAAGAGCCTGAGAGAGCTGCCTAAAGCAGAGAGAGGCCACGTGACTAACCCAGGCTCACTCAGCAGAGAGCAGAAACAGAACCTGAACCCAGAACTTCTGCTCCAAGGCTGTCTCCCTTCAAATGCTCATGTAGTGTGTCTCTCCACACCCAAGGAGATCGTAAGCTCCTGCAGGGCAGGGGCTATTTCAGCTCTGGTCTTACACAGTGTTTGGCACATAATAGGAACTTAATAAGTGTGTGCTGATTGACTAACTGATCGATGCTTTTTCCTCCTTACAAAGAATGTAAGCTCATTCTTTTCCTGCTACCAAGTTTATTCCTAAAACTCAGGCCTAAGTCACTGCTCTGATCAAGAAGCTCTTTTGGCTCTCTCTTGCCTTTTAATAAAATTAAGACTCCTCAGTTTGGCATTTAAAGCTCTCCATAGGGCTCTCAATCACTGCCCTTTATTTTTATTTTCATCTGTGTCACCAGCACTTGGGGGGGCTAGGTGGTGCAGTGATTACAGCACCAGACTCGGAGTCGGGAAGACCCGAGTTCAAATTCAGCCTCAGACACTAGCTGTGTGACCCTGGGCATGTGACTTCACCCTGTTTGCCTCAGTTCCCTCATCTGTAAAATGAGCTGGAGAAGGAAATAGCAAACCACTCCAGCATATCTGCCAAGAAAACCTCAAATAGGGTCACAGAGACAGACACAACTGAAACAGCTGAACAATAACAACAGATCTTAGAACAGTTCCTAGCACATAATTAGTTTTTAGTAATTGCTCATTGATAGACTGATTGAATATTTCAATTTTGTCTCAATGTCTCTAGCACCTGACCCACAGTAGACATTATCTCTCAAATCTCTCTTGTGATTGTCTATAGATGCACATATTTCACCCCCTAACAGAATGTAAGCTCCTTGAGGGCAGAGGCTGGTTCACTTGTGTCTATTTCCCCAGCACCTAGCCTGGCACACAATAGGTGCTTATTATTGACCGACTGATGGATGTTGTTTCCTCCAAGTAGGACTTCAGGTCTGAGAAGCCCAAAAGCCCTGAGAGTATTACCATGCCCCAGATCAAGAGCCCTTCTTCCAGCATGCCCCCAGTAGCCATCATCCAGGGGAGCAACCCTTGTGGGGATGTCACCCGACAGCTGCCCTGGCAGACCCCGTGGCCTTTCAGCAGCCACAGCAACTGGAGACCCAGCAAGAAAGATCCCCCCACCAACGTCCCCAGAACTGCCAAATGGCCTCATTAATGACAACGATATTAGCAAAGTTGTGCTCCCATCTGCTTCTCTCCTGCACCCTAAAGACCACTGGCCTCTCCATATGACTTACAGCTGAAACCTCCTGTGTCTGAACTGGAGAGCAGGGGCCATCTGTGCCCTTGTTTTTAGCTCAACACTGAGTGTACTTAAGAACTTAACACGTGCTTTTTCACTCATTCATTCATGCATGCATGCACGATGCTGCCTTCCTCCACTCAAGTCTTCTCCAGACTAAACATCCCCATTTCCTTCACTGGCCCTCAATATGGTGGACCTAGAGGCTCTTCACCACCCTGGTCGCCCTCCTTTGGAAGCTCTCATCAACGTCCTCCCAAAACTGTACTGCCCAGAAGTGAGCACAATCTTCCAGTTATGGTCTGACCGAGTCAAAGCTCAGTGGGACCGGCACCTTCCTAGCCCCAGACACTGTGTCCCTCATGGAAGAGCTGAAAATTACATCCATCTTCTTGACTACCATGTCATGATAATGATGTTGTGTTATGTCAGCGAAGAAACCCAGGCCTTTCGATTCATTATATCACCATTAAATGTATACACATGTACATATGTGTGTGTGTGTATAGATAGATAGATAGATAGATAGATATAGATAGATATAGATAGATATATACACACACATATATGTATGTATATATGTGTGTGTGTACAAATATATATTGTGTTTGTATATACGTAATATGTTTGTATATGTGTGTATAAATATATGCTTATATGTGTGTATATAAGTGTATGTGTATATATGTGTTTATAAATATGTATATATTATGTGTTGGTATATATGCGTGTGTATTATATATGGATTATTTATATAGCTATCATGTGCATATATGTGCATGTTTGTGTATACATAATATGTATATAGGCATGTATAACTATATATGCATTTAAATATAATATGTATATGTATGCATAGATTGTGTATGTGTGTATGTATTTATATAGATATAATGCAAGCATGTATTTATAAATATATTCATATTGGTGTATATATTTGCATTCACTATATATAAATATATGCATATATTTATATAGATATTATGTGCATATGTATATAAATGCATGATTATATGTGTATAACATGTATAAGTACATGTATATATAAATTTGTGTGTGTGTTTATATCTATGTAATGTGTGTATCTGTATGTAGGAATATATGAATGTGTTTGTGTATATATAATATGTGTGTATATGTATGTAAATGTGTGTGTGTGTGTGTGTGTGTGTGTGTGTGTGTGCCTCACAACAGCCTGTGTGTGGCAGGTGCTCTTATTATACCCATTTTCCAGAGGAGGAGATTGAGGCCCAGCCACATTAAGTGACTTGCCCAGAGCCTCAGAACTAGTACAGGTTGGAGGTGGGATTTGAACCCAGGTCCTCTACTCCTCTTTCCATACCATTGCACTTATCTCCGGGCAGTGGATGGCCCAGCTTACTTTTTTTGCTTCTTCTCCAGTTCATGATTCCTACTCTGCTGGTTCTCCAGCAGTACTCGGGTGTCCTCGAGGTCACAGGTCAGATTACAGCACTTCTTCTTCAGCTGATGAGAGCTTCTCCTGACCTCCTCACAGGTGTTCTGAGCTTCCCTGAGCTGCAAGAAGAGGAACGTGGCGTTTTCAGTGGCCCCTCTGCTTCATCATCTTCCTGCACATTATACTTCTCAAGGCACCTTCATGAACTCATCATTTCACTTTGAATCAGAGACTCTCAAGGGATAATAGTAATAACCAGCCTTTGGACAGTCTTAAGGCTCCCACCACGTGTTACAAGTCACTCCATCCTGTTTGCCTCAGTTTCCTCACCTGGAAAATGAGCTGGAGAAGGAAATGGTAAACCACTCCAGTATCTCTGCTAAGAAAATGCCAAAAGGGGTCACGCAAAGAGTCAGATATGACTGAAATGACTAAACAACCCTAACAAAAATGGAGGCTTGAACTTTATCCTCATGGCAGTAGGGAGCCCCCAGAGCCTCAGGAGCAGGGGAGCAGAGGTTGGGCCGAGCCCAATAAGAGCCTCGAAAACAAGCTCAGCAAAGGCCTCCCCCCTCTTCAGGCAGGCAAAGTCCCCCCAACTGTTCTTGTTTGGATGGAGGGAACTCAGCAAAGCCACTCTGAGAAGCCAGCTCATTAAGGAACTGTACTAAATAAGCAAAAATGTTGAGTTAATGAAGCCTGTAATTCTAAATTCAGCATCTGAAAGCAAGTGCTTTGCCTTCTTGTATTCCACCACTCAGGAAAAGTTTCCATTTTATTATTTTTTAATGTAGCATGAAGATTTCCCCCTCTTTCCTTGGGGAAACTGACCTACTTGGTAATCAGCTATTAAAGGCCTGGACTGCCTCCCCCTTTCCGCCGCCCCAAAGCAGCTCCTGACTCTTTATCTACTGTTCAAGTTTCTTGGGAAGGACTATTTAACATCTGCCTGGGAGGCAAATCATGGCTCCACACTCTTATCTTGGAGGCTGGAGACTGCTCGGTTCTTTGGCCTCAGCCCATCACGGTGTCATTAAGAGTTGGGCCATAATGAGCTGGGGGGCTCTGCTCCAAAAGCCCCAGAGCAGAGAGGAAGGGTTTGTTGGCTAGGGAAGTCCCCACCTCTCATGTTCTTGAAGCCTCCCCTGACCAGGCCAGTCCACAGATGGTTCCCATGTTTGGCTTCTCATACCCTATATCCCAGAATCAGAAGATGTCTAAACAGGATGTGAGAGTCCAGGACTTTCCTGTTATAGTCGAGGAAAAGTGGCTTTATTCAAGATCATGCAGAAAATCAAGAGCAGAGTGAGGACTACAGCCTTGCTCTCCTCCTCCCAAGCTAGGGCCCTTTCCACAACACCCAGGTCCCTTCCCAGAAAAAGAAAAGCATCAGGATACGGTCAGAGATTAGGTCCAGGAATGATAGGTCTGGAGAAAACATTTTCTTTATCTTGCAATGAAAGGTTTTATAACCAAAATGCAATTGGGAAGCCATTAAGATTGCTAGTGATGGTCTCTTTCTTTTCAACCCCTCCTAGCTAGACCTCTAACATCCCTCCCAGCTCTGACATTCCCTATTCTAAGGCCCCTCCTAGCCCTGACATTTCCTGTCCTGAGGCCCCTCCCAGCTCTGACATTCCCTGTTCTGAGGCCCCTCCCAGCCCTGACATTCCCTGTTCTGAGGCCCCTTCCAGTCCTGACATTCCCTTTACCAGTTGGGGTCTAGCACACCAGGTCCTCCCACCTGCTCTCAGCAGCACCAGTAGAACAGAGCTAGCCAGGTAGCTCCCCATCCTCCCCTCACCTTCTCTTCCAGTTCCTTTCTGGAAGACAGTTCAGAGTCTAGTCTCTCCTCACACATCAGGAGGCGCTTTCTGAGAAACTCGATTTCTGTCTGTGCACAGTCAAATCGTGTCTGCCAGTCATCAGCTGTGGAAAGGAGAAGGCACGTGCTCAGACAAGGCACACAGAGGTCAGAGGATGTGGAGCCCAGAACAGGGCAGTGAGGAGCAGTGAAGAAAGGGCTGGACTGGACTTTGTGGGCCCTTCAGTTCAGATTGAGAACTGGGAGGGGTCCCCAAGGCCATCAAATCCATTTTACAAATGAGAAAACTGAAGAATTCAGGCCTCATGTTGGGAAAACCTCCCTCCAATGATAGAAGGGGGTGGGTTCACTCCCCTCAGAGGTCTTCACACAGCGGCTGGATGACACTGATCAGAGGTGATCTAGAACTCTTGTCTAGATATGGGTTGGTCTCTGTGGTCACTGAGGTCCCTTCCAACTCAGGCATTCTGGGATTCTGCCTCTGTGAACATAGCTAGTGACTTCCCTAGACACTGCCTAAGGTCCCTGAGGCCCAGAGGTAGGGTATGGGGTACAGCCCCTTCTCAGGAGAAAGGGAAGGGTTTCACAGTGGATTTCTCTTTCTCTGCCTATTGATACCCTTCCTATCCATCTTTCAAGACCCAGATGAAGTCCCACTTCCCCCATGAAGCTTGCTCTGATTACCCTAGCCCACTGGAGAGCCGCCATCTTAGTACTCCAATAGCACTCCAAACTCCATCGGTTGAGTACATTTCATACTGCCGCACTTACTCGTGCGGCTATTTATAGCTTATGCCACGTGATGGGAGGCAATTTAGCATAGTAGGTGCAATGTTGGAGTTATAGCCAGGGGACTTGGGTTCAAATCCTCCATCTCTTACTGACCATGTGATCTTGGACAAGTAACTTCCCTTCTCTGGACCTCAGTTTCCTCCTCTCTAAAATGGGTGACACAAGTCCCATATTCCTGGAGTTTTTGAACCCAAAATGTGACTAGGTCATATGGCGTGCTAGACTTGGCATCAGGACAATCACCAGCTCTGTTACCATGAACAAGTGAATTAACCTTTTGGGGCCTCAGTTTCTTCATCTGTAAAATGAGATGGTTAGACATGATGACCCCTAAGCCCCCATCCAGCTCTGTGGCTATAATCCTATGGGCCTAATTTAGCCCCTTTTAAACTCCATCTTACTAAATTCACCCCAATGCTGTGGTCATACAAAGTCTTCTGGAAGCATGACCATCATCCAGGGTGTTAGCTCGCCTTCCCAGCTTTGCGTCCCCTACCAAGGTGATGAGGAGGTATACTCTGTGCCTGAGCCGCTTGGCCAGACTCAGTGTCTGCTCCCTCCACTGGGCTGCTCACTGCTTTTTGTACTTCAGTGCCAGGTCTAAATGAGGCACCGCAGAAAGCTTGCTCAGGGTGACCACAGACAAAAGCACAAATAGAAAAAAATGGGAAAACCAGCCTTCTCAGGTCGTCATCACCCTATCCCACCAGCAGCCCCTCTCCACCCTCCACTCCTGCCAATGCTTCTGACATAGCTGGAACATGATTCCCTTGGGGGCTTTGACGGGAGACCACCAGGTCTGACAGGAGCTGACACCTTTCTTCCCTCTCCCTGCGCTGAGGAGTGGGAACATTCGTGACAAATCAGCAGAGATATCAGTCTGCCCATCCCTCAGCTGGTGACCTGGAGAGCCAGGGGGAAGGAAGGACTCCAGCAGCAGAGGGCCTCAGGTCCTGGCGAGGGAGGACGGGATATAGTTCTGACATTAATCAGAGTACTAGATGGACGGGGGTCCAAGGCTCCCTAAGCTGGGGCCAAGGTTGAGGAGGAAGGAGACAGCACAGCAGGGGACCATGGGGGTGACTCCTCCTTGCCACATCACACTCCTGAGGCCAACCTCCCGCTCACCTTCTCCAGAATGAGACTTCCCTGCTTCACACAATTCAATTTTCTGCTGGGCCTCCTCCAGCTGCTTCTCCACTGACCCCAAACTCTTCTGTGTTTGTTCATATTTACTCTGAAAGGGGGAAAAGGTGTCAAGATGGAAAACCAAGCTGGACAAAGAGGGCACAGACACGCTGGACCCTCGGGCCTCTCCCGCCCAAGTGATACACAAAGACCGAACAGAAGCTCCTCCATCTGTTGTTTGAAGGTCTTCGGTCACTAGCTGGCCTGGCCCTTCTCTCTCTCTCTCTCTCTCTCTCTCTCTCTCTCTCTTCTCTCTCTCTCTCCTCTCTCTCTCCCTCTCTCTCTCTCTCCAGGCTTCTTACACATTCCTCCCCTCCACTACTTCCTGTTCTCTCCCAGGACACTGCTGGCTGTGCTCCATACCCGGAATGCTTTCTCTCCTTCCTCCTGGCTCCCTTAGCTTCCCCTGCTTCCTCCAGGACTCGGCTCACACACCGCCTTCATCACGAGGCCTTTTCTAGCCCCGTCAACTACTCAGACCTCCCCTTCCATCGGCTCTGTATGAATCTTGTATCTTCCTATTTGTGGATGCATCGTCTCCCCATTCGAATGAGGGGATCTTTGAGGACATGGCCTGGCATGTGCCTGTGGACCGACTGGCTGATTGCTCAGCTTCTGACCTTGGTGTCGCCTCTGCCCTCGCCCAGATGCTAAGCCCCAGATGCACAGGCAGAGACACCCACCTTCAGCTCCTGGATCTCTCTGGAGGCCCGGAGACGCTCGGCCCGCTCGCTCTCCAGGACCCGGCAGGCCACTTCTCCTTTGAAGCGCTCATCAGAGAGCTCGGTGGTCAGGTCAGTGATCTGGGGAAGGGTCCAGGGAGAGGTGATTATAGACCACAAAAATGCCCCCCAATTTCCAAATATACATACGCACACGCAGTGCATACATGCACACCTGTGCACACACACATGTGCATACATGCACACATACACACACATACACACACACACACACACACACATACCCTCAAAATGAGAGCCTAACATCACTCAGAGATGTCTTTGGGATGGGAGGAGGGCGGAGAGAGAAGCACAGGGTTATCACATATAGGTGACTATATGTATATGGTGAGAGGCTATTTGGAGAAAACTGACAAATAATGAAAATAAGAACAACAAACAATAGTTGATAAGTATAAATGCTTTAAGGGTCACACTCTATCTCATCAATCCTCACAATAACCCTATAAGGCAGGCATTACGGGTATTATCATCCCCATTTTATGTATTGATAAGTCGAGGCCCAGATTTTCCAAGATGGAGGACTACGGGCCAGGACCCAGCTGAATATTTCTCCCAACATTTCTCTTCAAACAACTTTAAAATAGCACTTCAAGTCAAATTTTGGAGCAGCAGAGCCAACAAAAGGTCAGGGGAAGACATTTGTCCAGCCTAAGACAGCTTAAGAGGTCTGCAGGAGAGGTCTGTAACACAGGGTGGGCGCAGGCCGGGAGCATGGCAAAAGCACTAGAGGCAGGGCCTTGCAGATGGCTGGAACAGTAGGAGCAGCTTCAGGAGCTCTCAGCCCAGAAATGGTTAGGGGCTTGGACAACTGGTCAGAAAGAGATTATGGGAGACCCTTTCCTGGCACAGGGTGCAGCTGGTGCTGACTGACAATTCTATTGCCTGTACACGGACAGGTCTGTGTTACGGTTCCAGGATGCAGAAAAGCGTTTGCAATCATTCACAAGGGAGGAGGGGCCCTGGTCACAGTTCCAGGACCTAGATGTCATGTTTCAAAAAATTAAAAAGAAAAATCTGCCTTGTTATCATAGATCCAGAGAGTAAAATAGATATTGAAAGAATCCACTGATCACCTCCTGAAAGAGATCCCCAAATGAAAACTCCCAAAAGTATTATAGCCAAATTCCAGAGCTCCCAGGTAAAGGAAAAAATATTGCAAGCATCCAGAAACAATTCAAGTATCATGGAGCCACAGGCAGGATCACACAAGATTTAGCAGCTTTCACTTTAAAGGAGCAGAGGGCTTGGATTATGATATTACAAAGCAACTACATGACCTATGCAGCAAAACTGAGTATAATCCTTCAGGGGGAAATGGGTACTTAATGAAATAGAAGATTTTCAAGCATTCCTGATGAAAATACTAGAGCTAAATAGAAAGTTTTATATTCTAAAAGGGGACTCAAGAGAAGCATAAAAAGGTGAACAGGAAAAAGTAACCACAAGGCTCTCAATAAAGTTAAACTGTTTATATTCCTATGTGGAAAACAGATGCAGGTAATTCCTAAGAATGTCATCGTTATTAGGGCTGTTAGAAGGCGCGTACACAGACAGAGGACATGTGTGTGTCCATTGTGTTGGGATGATCTCCAAAACAAAAGAATATAGGGGTGAAAAAGAGGGATGCACTGGGAGAAGGGGGAAGGGAGAGGTAGAATGGGGCAGATTTTCTCACATAAAGAAGAAGCACAAGGAAGAGCTTTTATAGTGGAGGAGAAAATAGGAGGAAGGTGGCAGGCAATGCTTGAACTTTGCTCTCATAGGAATTGGTTCAAAGAGGGAAGAATATATGTGCATATTTAGCTGGGTATAGAAATGTAACTCACCCAGTAAGGAGATAGGAGGGGAAGGAATAGAAGGAGATAATAAGGGGAAGAGAGGATTAGGGGAGGCTGGGGTCAGAAGCAAAACAGACTTTTGAGGAGAGACAGGATAAAAAGAGAGAAGGGAACACAGAAAAAAAAAAGTAGGATGGAGGGAAATACACACTTAGTCATCTTAACTGTGAATGTGAATGGGATGAACTAACCCATAGAATGGAAGTGGATAGCAGAATGCATTAGAGATCAGATTCTAACAACATGTTGTGTACGAGAGACACACTTGGTACAGAAAGACACACAGAATTGAAATGAAAGGTTGGAGCTAAGTCTATTCTGCTTCAGCTGAAGTGAAGAGGGCAGGGGTGGCAGTCATGATCTCAAAGCAAAGCAAAATCAAAATTAGACCTAATTGAAAGAGATAATCAGAAAAGTTACATTTTGCTTAAAAGGTACCGTAGACAATGAAATAATATAAAGAATTATAACAAATTTCTCTGATAAATTTTATCGGTTCTCAGTCAAATTTATAAAAATAAGAGTCATTCCCCAACTGATAAATGGTCAAAGGATATGAATGTGTAGTTTTCAGAAAAAGGAATCCATGTTACCTATAGTCTTATGAAAAAAATGCTCTAAATCGCAATTGATTAGAGAGGAAGAAACTAAAATAATTCTGAGGTATCACCTTATACTTATCAGAAATGACAAACGTGGGAGTGGATGAGAGAAAATAGGTACATTAATGAATGATTAGTGGAATAATAAAGTGGTCCAGCTATTCTGGAGAACAATCTGGAATTATGCCCAACCATGCTTATTCTTTGATCCAGCAATACCATTAGTAGGTCTGTACCCCCAAGGAGATTTTTTTAAGAAGGGAAAAGGGACCTATATGTACAAAAATATTTATAGCATTTCTTTTTTGTTGTGGCAAAGAATTAGAAATGGAGGGGATGCCCATCAGTTGGGGAACGGCTGAACAAGTCATGGCCAATGATGGTGGAGTACCCTTGTGCTATAAGAAATGATGAGGGAGGTGGTTTCAGAAAAAACACGGCAAGACCTATTTGAACTGATGCAAAGTAAAGTGAAAAGAAGTGGGAGATCATTGCGCACAGTAACAGCAATGTTACTGTGATTTGCCCCAGCTCATATAGCTAGTAAGTGTCAGAGGTAGGAAATAAATCAAGATCTCCTGGCCTATACCACACCGTAGTGCCTCTCTCCACCAACCAATCAATATGCATTTATTAAGCACTCACTGTGTGCCAAGGACTGGAGTAGCTCCTGGGAATACAAAATAAAAAAGAAGACCATGCCCATCCTCAGGAAGATTATGTATTGTTGGGAAAAACTATATATGTGTATGTGTATGTGTATGTATATACATACATGTACGTGTATATGTATATTATATATTTATATATGACTTTAAGACCCACCCCATCAATGACCTCTAAGACTCATCCCCAGCAATGACCTCTAAGATCCACCTCCAACGATGCTCTCCAAGACCCATCCCCAGCGATGACCTCTGAGACCCATCCCCAGCGATGACCTCTGAGACCCATCCCCTACCAAGCCCCAAGGTGCTCACTTCTATGAACTTTCTCACTTCTTCCCCAGCTCATCTCCTCTGTTTCTGAGCAGCTCTCACTGGTTGGGAGTTTTCTAGGACATCAAGCCTCTTAGCAGCCTCTACCCAGTGTTCTTGGTGCTGACCACAAAGGCCAAACACAGCCAGCCACAGATTCATAGGCTGTCGGAGCTGGAAGAAACCTCAGAGATCAGCTACCTCAGCTGTTCAACAACCCGGAGGTCCCTCAAGGCCACGCAGGTGACTGTGGATCCCCACACACCCCCTGCCTCCTCAGATGCCATATTTAGGGAAAAGGAAGGGATTTATATAAACAAAGGTAGGCATTGGAAGAATGAGGAAGGGTAGTGGGGGAGGGGAAGAAAGAGGAGAATCTGAACTTGCAGAGGCCTCAAATGTCCATGCACATTTAAACGTAAAGCTCACAAACCCTTGAAGCAATCAGAGTTCCTGCCAGCCCCCACCTCCCTCCACCTTGCAAAGGTTAATTCTCCAGACCTCCACGTCCTCCCAGCTATTCCCAGATGAAAAAGAACCAGTCTAGCTGTGCCACTAATTATGTTCACCAGGTCTGTAAACAGGCCTTCTTGATGTGATCAAGGGCGGCCCCATGCTGTCTCTTTAGAGGGACAATCAAGGCAGGAGGCTGCTGACCGAGGTTGGGAATGGTGCTCAGGGCCACAGGGAGTAATGAGATGCCACTGTGCTGAGCCCGGGGCACCTTTTGTGCACTCTCTTGCTCCTTCCCTAGCTCATCTCCTCTACTTCTGAGCAGCTCTCACTGGTTGGGAGTTTTCTCTGACATCAAGCCTGAATATGGCTCTTAGCAGCCTCCACCCAGCATTCCTGGTTCTGCCCACTAGGGCCAGTCACACATTCACAGGCTGTCAGAGCCAGAAGGAACCTGGGAAACTAACCTAACTCCTCTTCAGCGTCCCTGAGAAGGGAGCGGTCAACCCCTCCAGACAGAGAGAGAGAGAGGCCTCTGTATATTTTTGAGAGCTCTCATTTTAGAAATTGTTTCCTAACCTATAGCTTAAATATTCCCCTTTTGTCAAGGAATGGAGGAAGGAAGGAAGGAGGGAAGGAGAGAGAAGGAAGGAGAAGGAAGGAAGGAAGGAAGGAAGGAAGGAAGGAAGGAAGGAAGGAAGGAAGGAAGGAAGGAAGGAAGGAAAGAAGGAAGGAAGGAAGGAAGGAAGGAAGAAGAGAAGGAAGGAGGGAAGGAAGGAAGGTCCTATGATTTGGTCCAATACTCTACTACGCCAAGATCATTTTGGTTCCTGACTCTGACATGTTATGTGTTCAATGCCCTTCTCAGATTCTGCCATCTGCCCACTTAATGAGCATACTGCCTATGCCTTTATTCAAACAGTAACAAGCACATACACCCATACCAAGCCAAACCCAAATCCCTGTGGCCCTCTATTCAAGACCTCTGAAGCTGACAAGGGACCTTTTCCTACCCTACCCAGCTGGATGGTGTGGCGTGGGAGAAAGTCACAGCCACTCTCCCAATTACCATGTTATTTATAGGTTCCCATAGGCAGAGAAGGAAGAAGGGGGAAAGGGAAGGGCGGGGGGAGGAAGAAGTGTTAAGTGCCAGTCATGTGCCAGGCACTGTGTTAAGTGCTTTACAA